GGCTGCTCGCCGCGCCAGCGCGCCAGCAGCTCTAGCGCCCCGTTGCTAGGCTACAGCTGCTATCACCCCCTGCCCGCCTTGCGCCTCCCCCGCTACGCCACACTACTGTGGCGTGGCGCGCTATGGGCCGTGGGGTCTCTCTCTCTCTCTCTCTCTCTCTCGCTCTCTCGCTCTCTCTCTTTCTCTCACTGGCTCCCCCATTTCCCGGTTCTGATCGCCACCATAACCGCGCGCCGAACGGTTTGTGTGTCAAGTGTCGTTCAGTCATTCCGGCTGGAGTTGTGTTGTGCCAGCCTGCTCTGGGGTATGTTTATCTTTTTATTATTATCGCATTTGATTGTCGATGTGAAATTCCTCTTTTTTCTTCAATAAAGTTTAATGCCAGTTATCTGTTTTTTTCAGCGCGGGCCCCACCGAGGGTATTTCTGCACAACAACACAAAACTCTAATCCACTGTACCACAGTGCAAAACTCTCTCTCGCTTTCTACCCCCCTCCCCCCCTCTCTCTCCCTCTCTCTTATCCACTGCTTTCGTCCGTCTGTCTTGTCTATCCTTCTCCCACACTCTCATTACAAACCGACGCGCCAGTGAAGCGACAAAGACATATCACTTACGCGTTGGTGCCGTGGTCGGAACTGACAAAGCGGGTGAGTCAGTCGCACGGACGGACAGACAGACAGACAGACAGGAGGGCGGAAAGCGGCGGAAAGACTGTGACGCGCACCAACCCGCCGGCCAAAATATATCCCGTTCTAAAGGTTTAGAAGCAGGACGGTATGATGAAGACTTATCTGCCGGCCGGAGCGAGCTGGAGCCAGACTTATTACCCACCGGTGCTGTCGTCGTGACACCGCTGGGTAACTTTATGAGCGGCAGGGGCCATGTTCTCACAAAAAAGACAAGGAAAGAACGAAGAAGAAGAAAATTGGCTGACTGCTGCTGGCCCGGCGAGGCCGCCGATTGCGATGCCTCGACATTTAAAATGAAGAAGCAGGAGGTCGCACGGACAAGAAGAGAGAGAGGAAGCAGACAACTCCCGTGAGACGAAGAGAGCAGGGGAGAGGTAGAGAGATGTGGACGAAGGACACTGCTTTTAATTGTACAGTTGCACTGGGAAAAAAAATATACACGCGCAGAAAAAGGACACTGTAAACGAAAGAGGAAGAATAACAGTACACCTATTTTCCTCCTTATTATCCGTCCCTGTTTTAAGCAGATCGTTTGAGGACCTCGTTACGCCGCGCCGGAAACCTCTCACGGCCAGTCGTTTATTTTCCGCTTAGTCATATCAGATAAAAGGAGGGCGGCGGCCCGGGCCAGGGCGGCGGATCGCTTTATCGACAGGCGAGAAAATAACACGGGCTCTACTACTAACTGGGAGCAGAGGCGGCGCAGACTACTTGTAGCGGCGCGCGAGACTCGTGTAGTCCTCACTTCGATCAACGATGCGGCCGATTGTTTGTCACATTTGTTCAACAATTACAGCATAGTTGTGTGCCATGCATTCTTTTGACGGAACTTCGACAAAAGAAGATGTGCGTTGTACTGTAGTCTACAAGGACCCGTCCCCATTCATAACGGTGTCCATATAAATGTGGCTGGTACACGGGACCACCGCGCATGCTCTGGAGAATCCATACTACGAAGCAATAAACGCTCTTCTTGTAGTCTTCTGCAAAGCCTCTGACAATCCTTTCGCACAGTGCATAAAAAAAGCGCGCTCGACGTCGTCGTCGTTTAGGGATTCAACTTAACACAGTCGACACGGAGCGGCCCGGCGGGCGCGGCGGTGCGGCGGGTCTGCCTAGCCTCCCGACGGTAGGCGGGCGCTGCTCGGGGCTGCTGCGATCATCATCTCTAGAGCGCGATAGGCTGCTGGGCAGAGGAAATAAAAAGGGACGAGGATAAGGAGGAGAGTTTCAGAGCGACCCTCCGGCCGATGAATGAGTGTGGCTTGGGGGGAAGGGGAGGGAG